AGAGAATCATAACCAAGCATAGATAGGTTTTGAATATTATTCGATATCTCCACCTATAGTCGATCGTATTGCCTAGGTTAACTTGATCACTTAGCCTCTGATTTTAGGTTGAATCTACTCACGACAGTATTGTAGATTYRTGYAAWTGACTTAGGTGGGCGAGTTGTCTTTAGCCAACGAAAGTTGAAGTTAAAGCAARTCGTGAACAAATCAACCCAATTCGTTTAATGCTCTTCATTCTTTGTAACCTCAAACGACAGTTTAGGGTGTTAGATTGTTTGTTGAAGTAGTTGATGCCACGACAGTGGTCTTCTTGAATCTATGGTTGAGTTCTAGATTGGTTCATAACTTGATTACTTGAATAATTGCTTGGTTTTGATGTCATAATCCCTGAGATATCCCTTGACCTAACTCTTTCCTTATCATTGCTTACACCGTATTTGCATATTTGCTTTCTAACCGTGACAACTTAAAACCACTTGATCGCTTAGCTGAAATTGTGTTCCATAAGATTAGATTGTATTGCTGGTCCCTTTGAACGAACCTCACTATTCTACATTGAATTAGTGATCCCTAGGTTTAAACTTATAAGACCCGAATAAAGGACTTTCATCACACATCTAATAATAAGATCAATGAAGGGTATGGGTATGGTTCCGGTACCAATCCTAACAAGGTGTCATACACATCCAAAAATAAGGTCGATGGAGAGTATGAGCACGAATGATAACTAACTCGGGGAAGTTGACAAAACCATCCCGAAACGAATATACATTTCCCTGATGGGCCACCTTTGTCGCTCCCGCCTACTATAATGAAGGCAAAGCCCAACTTCATTTTCAAGCCCAACCACATTCATTCTCCCATGGCCGACAATCTGTTTTTATAACTGAACTCTTACTGGGCCAATACCCATGTTGGGCCAAAGAGACCAAAAATATGGGCCAAGGAAGGCCCAATTTCACATCTTGGCTTCGGCCCATTAAACACCCAAAACTAGATCGTGGCTTGTCTTGGATCGACCGGGGCGAGACCTTCAACTTGCCGATGACAGTATCTCCGGCCATAACCGGTGACCGGCGGTGGGTGGACGCGTCTTCGGAACGCAATCGGAGAGAACAACAATCGAAACCCAGCCTTCGAGAGCCAACCGACACGCCACGAGATCTGGTGCCGTTCAAGTCTCGGGTCGCTGTCGGAGTGAAACCCGGAGATGGGTCTTGAATGCCTGAGATTTCTGCTCCCGTAATCAAATCTTCGGCTTCGAGTACCCGAGAAGAGAGGATAGTCGGTGGCGGAGTCTGAGCCGACGGGGTTATGGATGCGGCCCTGGTGGGCGACGACGGAGGATTCAAGAGAGGTGAGGTGGTTAATGGAGAAGAGGGCGGTAGATCTTCGCTCTCGAACCGAGAGTAAATCTCTGTATAGAACTCGTAACAAAGGCAACGTTAACAGCGAGTGAACAAATAACAAGCGGAGGTGATAGACCATCTTTCGACGTCGGCGAGCAAGAGGCCCACCAGCACCGGAGAACAACAAGCTTTTGGTTGCTTCGATAATCGTGCGTGGGAGCTTCGGCTAGGGCGAACTTGATACTGTGATGTGTTATACTTATCTTTAAAACAAAACAAAACAAAAAAACTATAGTTATATTCTAATTTTTAAACATATCAATGCAATATTTCTTTTTTGAATTTATGATTTACTTTATTATTTTCTAACATTTACCATAGATATTTAGAAATTTATATGAAAAAATTTAGAGAAATTCTGAGAAATGCCACTTCTGAAATGCCATTTTTTAAAAATGCGACTTTTTCAAAATTATTTACTCATTATATCATTTATGTTTTGGTTAACTATGTTGTATTAGGGTTTAGTTTTGAAGGTTTAGGGGTCAAAACATTTTTTAGGAT